TGGTTTAACATACAAGAAGCAATCAATGTAAAAGAGCACATTAATAAAGTAAAGGACTAACAAAACTCCATGCTCATCTGAATGGACCCAAAAAAAGTGTTTGACAAAATTTAACACACTTTTTAGGGTTAAAAAAACGCAACAAAGTAGGACTAGGACAGAATTTTTTCTCAATCTGATAAAGGACATCTACGAAAAATTGCCAGCTAACATTATACTCAGTGATGAAGGACTGAAAGTTTTCCCCACATTAGCTAAGGAAAAGGGTGGCTGTTCTTGTGGTTCTAGCCATGCACCTAAGCAAGAAAAAGAAGCAAACACCATCTATTGAAAAGAAGGGAGAAAATCAATCTTTATGTGTTGACATGATCTTATAGGTGGAAAATCTTAAGGAAGCTATAAAAAACAAAACAAAACAAAACAAAAAAACTACTAGACCTAATGAACTAGTTTAGCAAGGCTCCAGGTTATAAGATCAATATATAAGAATTAACTCTACCTATGTAGAGTAGAATGAACAATCTGAAAATGAAACCAAGAAAACAACTCCAATTACAATAGAATGAAAAAATAATAAAATACTTAGGATTTTTAAAAGGATCAGGACCTGTACACTGAAATCTGCAAAACATCATTTAAGGAAATTAAAGGGAAATACACTCCATGTTCATGGATTGGAAAATTTAATATTGTTTAGATGACAAAATTCCCCAGATCAATCAATAGATTTAATGCCATCCCTATCAAAATCCCACATGACTTTCTGGAGAAATAAATAAGCTAATCATAAAATTTACATGGAAATGCAAGGGACCCAAGTAGGAGGAAAAAATTCTTAAAAAAGAAGAACAACATTGACAGATGATGATCAGTTTTATGTCAACTTGGCAAAGTAGAGTCCCCAGTTAGCCAACTCCTACGAAAGTACCTTATAGATATGATTAACACCTACATCAACTGATTGTAGGAGGGCCTCCTTAGTGATTTGGGTGGGTCTGATCGAATCAGCTGAAGGGCCTTAAAAGCAGAACTGAGCTTACCTAGCTGTGGACTATAGTCTGAGCAACTGCCCAAGCATCTTGGCATGCTCATCTGGAAACTCTGCCCTATGGATTTTGGACTTGGCTTGTCAGTCTGCACAATCACATAAGCCATCTTTGCAAGAGTCTCTACATATGTACACATATAATGTTTTCCTGGCTCCATTTGTCCAGCGGAAGACTGACTGATGCGGAGAATGCACAGAGAGAATGTCAGAATTTACTACAAACCGACATAGCCAAGACCGTGCAGCTGGTGTAAGGACAGATTCGTGGACTAGATTCAACAGTCCCTGGACAAACATCTATGTTTGTGGCCAACTGGTTTTAATAGGTTTCCAGACAATCTGAAGGGTAAGAAAAGTCTTCTCAACAACACAGATGGAGTTGGGGCTGCTGCACAGCCACGTGCAGAAGATGACCTGAACTCCAACTCTAGCTGAATGCCATAGAGGGGCTGTCTGCAGATGCACACGCGGAGAAAGCCTGTGGCCATCAAGGCCGAGGCAGAAATGAGGCATCCCCATGCCAACAAAGAATGCCAGTAACCTCTGGAAGAAGAGAGAGACCCTTCCCTGAAACCCTCACAGACACCAACCCTGCCTACACCTCCATCATGGATTTCCAGGCTGCAGAGCAGCATGCAGTCGATGGTACTTTGGTGAAGAAGTGCTAGAAAACTTAAAAGTAAGCAATTCCAGTCAGAGGCATGGACGGGCTGCATGCGGTGGGCTCCACGCGTGACAGGGGTCTCATAGACGACGACAACGGGGCTGGGAACCCCCGGGGCCTGTGGTGTCAACCCCGCTGTGAGGCCTTAGCTCAGCAGGTGCGTGTTTGTGACAATCTGGGTGTGTGGCCCCACGGCACTGACGGTCGAACGGTCTCCTTGATGCACGTGGTCCTCGATGCAAAAGGACACCTGTTACTTTTCCGTGGCGTCATCGCTCTGTGACTTGCAAGACAGGCTTACTGTGACACCCTGCTGTTACGCTGCTGGTGTCTCTCGTTTACTGCGTGCCCTGATTGGCGGCAGCGGGCACATGGAATGACTCGATCGTCCCATGTAGATTTGTGTAAATATCCCCTGGGAAGTTCACACAATTACAAAATCGCCTAGCGACACATTTCTCAGAACATAGCCCCTGGACAGTTGACACAGTGTACTCTGTGGTCGTCCACACACAGGGCCATGTGTGAGTGTGAGGCGGACTTTACATGACAAGGTGATGCTTTGTAATATGTTACATAATGACGGTCACTCCTCATGGATCATCCCACCCTGTGTCTGAACATGGTATATAAAATGCTCAGTTCCGCCTCCAGCTTAAGTGCCGCCTTAGGAATTTTACTGCTATACCTGTTACCAGTGCAGGGACACAGTTTTTAAAAGTAAGACAGACGAGGAATCAGGAAAGTTTGACTAAGTTGGTATTGCTATCAGTAGAGCACTTACTATACAAAAACTTTGTGCAGAACAACATTGGTAGGCCCTTTGTTGAAATCAAGGCAAAAATATTTCTATGGAAGTAAAACATAACAATCTATAAATAACATGTAAGAGTTGTAGCCCATGAATAGAGCATCTAGACATGCAGAACAATGACTGAAGTTGTCATTTTTTTTATCATTCCTGGCTTTTGATCATAGAAAAATCATAACTTTACATATTCTTTTAATTTTGCCATTATGAGGATACATCTGTCACTGTGGGAGGATGGAACATATTTCACTTTACAGTTTTGCTGGCCTGGTGTATGCCTTTAAGCACTTGGCGTGGGCATGTGGCTACCACCCACCCTCCCTGTAGGGTGGACCAGGACTCAGCAATGACAGCAGAAACACAGCCTGAAGCTTCACACAGAGCCCTCAAGAATCCTGGTGCCTGTCACCCGAAGGCCTCCGATGCAGCCCCTGCAGGGAGTGACAAGAGCCCTCCTAGCTACAGCTCTGTCCCCAGGCTCGACAGACCACCTAATGCTTCACCGTGCTGGTGTCCCCAGCATCAGGACGGTGCCATGCGTGTTACTTGGATTTTATTTTTTCAGTGACTCTGAATTACTGAAGTAAACAGCAATTTATTTCTATACTTCACTCCTGTTTTGGTAAAGGTCGTGGACAACGGAATGAAAGGCCTTCAGAGGGATGAATTCTCCCCGTGGCGCCCTCGGTGGGAGGTTTGGCTGCCCAGGGGGCTCTGCGGACAGGGACAGGAGCCAGCATTCTGCGTGGGATCAGAATTAGGAACCTGGGGACTCTTAGAGACTGGGTAAGCCTGCCGGTGACAGAGGAGACAGGCAGAGCCATCACCGATTTCCAAGCCAAAGACGCAAAGTGTGTCAAAATGCCAACCAAGACGGAGACTGGACAGAGGGCCTGGTGGGACTGCCAACTTAGACTGCATTTTGGTCTTCGTCCCTGCCAACAAGGCTGGCACAATGCACTGAGCCCCAGAGGAGAGGAGTCTTTAAGGCACATTCACACCCTGCCCCTGGCTATCAGTTCACAAAACTGCTGCCCTGGCTTCCTGTAACTCGAAAAACCATTAGAGGCGTAGAGTGGATTCATCAGATTCCAGCAAAGAAGGACAAACATTTGGAGAAGTATGCACCTAGAAGTGTTTAAAAGTTACTGGGGGCTATAAAAACTAACCCTCTGAGGTGGGGAGAAAGTCAACAGCTCAGGGCTTAACAGAGCCGGCAGATTAGTGAACTCTGTTAATCACCCTGCCGGAGAGATTACCAGTCCCATTTGAAACACAGATTAATAGGAACAAATAAGGTGCTGGGCTGGAAGCATTTTTACAGCAAGGAACAAAAGTTTTTAATCTTTGTTTAAATAAGACTTCAAAAGGATTCCACATATAACCAAGAGTGAGACCATTAAAAAAAATAGCTTCAAGAAATGCAAGGCACTGGGACCAAAGTTCCGACCTTTTCCAGATCCAGAGCCACACTGGCTATCCAAGCAAGCTGAATGCAATCAGCACTGGAGATTTAAAGACTTGCATGTTTGCCTTATCGGGCTGATGAAATAGCACAAGGGTGTGGCCGAAAGCCAATGTTTATTTTTTACTCATTACCTGTTTTATTAATGAGATTCTGGGACGCAGGGTCCCGAGGCAAATCCCAAGGTATTAAATCAATCCATGCCGGTCCTGCATGGAGAGGCTGAGGGTGAGTGAAGGGGGAGTCACATTTGCCACGGGTGTGCCCAGCCCGGGGAACTCTGCTGCCGAAGTCCACAGCGCACAGAGGATATTTCCCTGCAGAGCTCGGGGCGAAATAAATGGGTCTTTCTCCCCAAATAAAAATATACATAAAGAAAAAATGCCCCAAGTGGATACTTTTAGAGTGAAAGATGAGACTCCCTCAGCCAGAATAATAAACGCACGGACAACAGGGTCCTGTAAAGAAACTCAACCTCCAGACTCCATAAGGAGGGCCTCCTGCGACTCCAACTGCCCTGGGACTCTCAGTCCAAGCCCCAGGCTCTCCCTGCCTCTGGGAGTTAAAATTTCTGCCTCTGAATTCTTTGAAGGGAAGGAAAAAGAAAAGTGATCACCTAGATGCAGCCCTGTTCGATAACTCAGAGCAACAGAAATGCTTGCAGAATATAAAACACTCCTCATTTGCTGAAAGCAAAGGTTCCTACCAGCACACCATCATTTGTTTTTCCTTGATTTGACCAAATCCACTGTTGCCACTAAATGTTGGAGTTGCTCTAGCACGGGATCGGGAGTGGGAGCGGGAGCGGGAGCGGAATGCCGCTTTGACCGTTCAGATTCAACCTCATTCTACCTTACCGGGCTTGAGATTCCTGCCTATCAGAGAACGAGTGCGATGCCGATGCCTTGGCGTCTAGAAATGCAGTCTTTGGGCCAAGCTCAGCACAACTCCGCCCGTGCCCCAGAACCCTGTGGGGAAAGCTGAGGGTGGGGAGGAGATGCAAAGTACTTACGAAGACCCTGGACTCGCTGTGGGAGGGGGACCTGGAGAGATGAAAGAAAAATAATAGAGCCTCTCAGGGTGGGGAGCTGGGTGCAACCGATCCACCCCACCACGAGTTCAAGTTCTCAGCCACCCAGAGGCAATCTTTATTTTTCTGGGGTTTATTGTTTGGTTACAGGTTCTCTCCACTGCCTCTGCGACCCACAGCAGGGAGAGTGGGGGACCAGTTACATCCCCCCAGCGCAGGGTCTCAAAGGTGCTAGGACGGAGGCTGAAACCCGAGTCACCCGGTCTTGGGCTCTGCAGGGAATGGCAGCAGGGAGCGGGGCTTCCGGGCCCGGGCAGAGGGGCCGTGCGTGCTGCCAGCGTTCCCACTGCTTGGGGCACGGCGACTGGTATCGGGCCGGGGGGGATGGCCAGCTCTGGACCTGCTCTGCTCCTTCCTGGGTGGCCGCCCCTGCACGTGGCCGTTGCCCGAGGGTCGTGGCTTACTCAGTTGCACAGCGGCCGCACTTTGCCCGCTAGGGTGTGGAGTCCAGGACCCCAGTGCCCTCTCACAAAGCCCGTTCCCTCCCTGCTCGCCCCAGGACCCCAGTGCCCTCTCACAAAGCCCGTTCCCTCCCTGCTCGCCCCAGGACCCCGTCCTCCCGCCTGCCCGCCACCCCAGGAAGCTGCTTACCAAACTTGACGAACAGGACTCCGGTGGTAGAAACCACCTTCTTGCCGTTGGTGGCCACGCACTGGAAGTAGCCCGTGTCGGTGGTGTCCAGGTTCCGGATGCGCAGCCGGGAGCCGTAGCTGGTGGCCCGGAAGGAGATCCGCCGGGGCTCCTGCACCACGGGCGCATCGTTCTTGAACCAGCGGATGGAAGGAGGCGGACTCCCCGAGACCTTGCAGTGCAGCTCCGCCGTCTGCCCCAGGGACGTGGTGATGTTGTTCATGGGCTCATCGAGAGTCAGGTAGGAATCTGCAGCAGGAGGGGAATGAGGCAGGTGAAGCCGGCTGGCACCCCGAGCCACCCAAGACCACGCCAGCCTCCGGCACATCCCCAGGGCCATGGAAGGCGCGACAGGGGACACCTGCGGGGACAGACAAAGGAGTGAGGGAAAGCATTTACCGCCGCCAGGGGACCATCCCCAGGGGCTGCTGCTTGGAGGGAACTTTGTTACTAATCGGAACACAAACCCGAAGTGTTCAGACAGCGCCATGGCTCCCAGGGGTAATGCACATTCTGAAACATGGTTTTGTCCTTCAGATAAAAAAAAATAACCCATGTTCCTTGTTGCAAATAACAACACAGTAAAGAAGAGAAAAAGAAGTCAAAATTCGTTTCACATCTTCCCATCCCAGAGTAGCAGCATCCTTAACCTTCTGCAAAGATCCTTCCCGTGTGCCCACTTTGGTAGGAAAGAAAGAGTCAAAACCTGGGAGAAGCAGGAGCAGCGTGTGGATATCCCCGAGGCTTGAGACCAGGGAGGGTGCCCGAAGCCTTCCCCTGGTGAAGCGGGCCCTGCAGACAAGGTGGCAGGTGGGACATCTCCGTGACACCGCTCACGTGTGTGTCACACACGACGTATACACTTGTTTCCTGTCTCCACCATGAGTCATCTATTGTCAATCCACCGATCTGCCTATCATCCATCAAGTCGATGCCATTATAATTTTAACCTGAGATAGAACTACACTCTGGGAAGCGTACAGATCTTAATCAATTCCAGCTATGAAACATGCATGTCCTCTTGCAACCGAAGCCCAACCTGGAGAGGACAGAAACCACGCCCAACTTCCTTTGTAGTTGGCTCCGCTCCCCAACACTCCCTCCACCCTCCTACAAGCACCTGCTATTCTGATTTCTCTCCTGATGGATTAATTTTGCCTATGTCAGAATCTCACATAAGTGGAAGCATACTGTTTTTATGTTTCCTACTCTGCTTCTGAGATTTGTTGTATTAAACACTTCCCTAATGAAATCAGTTTTCCTTCACCTTTCTTGAATAAGTAGTGTTAAAAAATCATTAAATAGTGGTCGTGGAATCCAGTCACAGAGAAAATAATTTGTATGTTTAAAATTAACCTCAATATTAAAAAAGAAAGCTTGTGCTGCTGTTCATATCCACAGAGCCTTGTCTGGTACCTTCCATCACTCCCACCTGGGTCAGTCCCCTCCTGTCCTCTTCCCTCACCCCAAACCAGGACAGCTCATTCCGCAGCCCCCAGAGCCCCCGAGGCCGGGCATGGGAAGGCTCTCAACCCTGCAGCCTCTGGCTCGTGGTGATGGATGCGTGTCGGAACCCGCGGGGATCGGGACCCACCTCACCCTCTGTGGCTCTCCTGAGCTCACGAAGTTTGGCTGGAGCAACTGGGGAACGGGACTGTTCAGCTGAACTTTAAACAGCTGCATCTGGCTGGGGGCTACTGTGCTGGACAGAGAAGACAGTGTGTTTGTTGAATTTAATGGAGCTTTATTGGAAAATAAACTTTTCTGGAGCTGTGTTAACTGGATAATTTAATGACCTAAATGCCTGTAAGAGCCATTCATAAATGCTAAAAATAAAGGATTCATAAGATTCCACAAGAATACTGAGGATGGGTGTTGTCACAGTCTGAGTGTGTCACGTGTGCAGGGAGAGGGGAGTAAATGTGGGCATCACGGCGGGTTATCTGAGGGTCCTCTCACCTCCCGCAGCCACTGGGGAATGTCTTCCACCACAGAATCCCAAGTCCACACTTGGGTTTGTTAACGTCTTCTCACTCATGCGCTGATCTCTGACGCGGCTCCACGCTGTGTCTGCTCACAGATGCAGGCACATGCGCCCCTAAGGCGTGTTTGGTGCGCCTGGGAAGCAGGGAGACTATTAGCACTGGCTTTCCAAAGCCATAGGTGACTTTTCACCCACCTTGCGCCTTCCCAGTGGCTCACTGCACACTCTCTGCAGAGAGAAACGAGAAATAGCAGCACAGTGCTGGCTCCTGCGCTGGCCGGTCTTGGACTTTGATTGGCTGGGTTTGGATCTCTGTGAACCTGGGCAAGCTGTTTAACCCCTCTGTACCTCAGTTTAACTGGCTGAAAAGTAGGAATAATAAACAGGGTTTATTTTCCACCTGGCAAAACTGTTACAGGAAGATTGAAATTAAATCAGGTGGCAGCTGTGAAGCCCTGGGCCTGTTTGATGAAGCAGCACCGGAGGGCGTGGATCAGTGCTGCCGTGGTCACCTCTGCGAGCTGCTTCGGTGGATGCCTGCTTTCCTGGCAGCCTCCTCCTCCTGTCGCCCTCTAACAGCCGGTTAAGTAGGAGCCGCACTGTTTCCCCTAAGTCCGAAGCATGGTAACGAACTGTGACACCAGGGTGGACTGGCGCCTCCCTGGTCCCAGAGTGAAGAGCCACAGCTTCTGTCTCTCAGGGCCTTCAGGCCTCAGGCCAGCCAGGCGCCCACATGCAGTCCAGCGTGGTCCCGGCCAGCACAGCAGCCACTGTAGCCTGGCGCACTCCAGCACCTGCCAGCTCTCTACCTTGGCATTCACCACCCTAGCCCTGCAGGGAGGGGACCGAGCCCCAGGAGGCCTGGGCAGGGGACTCTTCTCCCCAGGGTCGGCGGCTGCTGGCGGAGTGGAGCTGTCCCGTGTGGCTCGCGGATGGGAGTTGGGGCCCAGGTTGGAGCAGGCGCTTGGGCCCCCCCGGAGGCAGGGACCTCACTGGCCTCCCTCTCTCTGGCTCTGTAACATCCGTCAGAGCGCCATGTGAGGGCTGCAGGGCGTCTGGAGATGAGCATGCTTCCAGATCTCGGTGCCTGCTGAAGGAGCCTGGCCACAGACAGGGTTCGTCTTAGCTCTTCCCTAGAGAAGCAGAAGCCGGGGATGAGGGAGCCATCAGCAGCTGCGTCTTGGGGCGGTGTGGGAGGACCAGCTCCAGCATTTTGCCTAAATGACATGAAGGCATGCTGGGACTGGAAAAAATGTCACGAAAACACACACCCACGCCAGTGCGCAGGCCCAGGGCCAGGTCCGCCCTCTGCTCAGAGCTCACAGGACACTTCCAGAGCAGCCTTGCGGGCCCCCAGGCTCGATGTGGCCACCACCGGCGCTGGACCAGCCGTTCCTTTCAGAGGACACCTGTGTCTCACCTGCAAAGGGGCACCGTGCTGAAGGAAGTCTACCACAGTCTGGGGACAGTCCTGTGGCGGGCTGGCACCTGCCTCCAGGCTCTGTGTTCGTGACCCATCACTTGGGCCTTGGGTCTGTGCATCCTGGGGTATCGTGTGCCCCACACAGGCAGCCGCGCGACGTGGGTGGCAGACACAGGTGTGGCTGGGCTGGGGCACCCGGAGATGCCGCTGGAGCCCATGTTGGAACCTGGCCTCTGGGACTTTTCCAGGGCTTTGATTCAGTGCCTTGGACACTTCTCCTCTTTCTCACTCCTGACGCGCCCACATGCGGTGTCATGCAGCCCCAGGGACTGCCGGGTCCAGGCAGGAGTTTGGGATCCAATAAAATATTTATTTTTTATACTGCAGAAAAGTGAAGCTTTAATATCCTTTCAGTGCCACCATCTCTGCGCTGGGCCTAGAAACTCATGATAACAGTTTATGGGTTTTGTTTGCCTTTGAACATTTTCAAGGCAGGCGCCAGGCTCCTGCCTAGCGTCTCTCACACTCACCTGTCTAAGCCCGAGGACAGTCCTGTGAGACAGATGCCACTGTCACACAGCCAGATGGCAGCAGAGGCAGACTCGGACCCGGGCCTTTGACACCAGAAATGGTACGATTTCCTGGAGTCCTGGAAAACAAATGTCCTTGCCCCTAGGAGTCCTTCCAGCCGGTGACGGCACCTGCTGGCCCCAGGACAAGGAAACCACCACGGGCACTTTGTAGCTGGAAGTCGCCATGGAGAACGAGCTTCCTAAGCACAGCCCAGGCGTCTTGTGTCCTGAGACTTCGCCGAGCTAGACGGCGGACTGCAGGGGAAGAGAGAAGTCTGTTCGTGAGCTCCCGGGACCGCGTCTCGGTCTCCTCCCTCCTTCTTTCTTGCACCCCTCCGGCGTGCTGTGTGCTGCTGCGGGCTCTGTAGGCACTGAATAATGCCGGTGATTAAGCAAATGCAAGGGTTGAGTGGGTCTCCGGCAAATTAGCTTGGGAGACACCTCACTTATTACCCACCCGCTTGACAGGATGCCACATCCACAAGCCCACACATCCCTCCCGACATTTATTGCTTAATTTTCATAGTCCACTCTCATCTCTCCTTGGGGAAGGAGGCAGGGCCAAGAGTTATGGTCCCTTCTTGGCAGGTGAGAGAAACTGAGACACAAGATGTTTCCCAGGCCTTTGCCATGGTGACCGGGCCAGCGGGGAGGGGCCCAGCGAGCGCCAGACCCCTGGGGAGAGGCGGGCAGCTGGGCGGGCCCCGAGGTGGGAAGCCCAGGGCGCAGCCTTCGGAAGGCTGCCAGGCACACTTAGGTCATCGCGCTGGACATGGGGGGAACTCTGTGTCCGCATCAACCTCATCCACTTTCCCCAGGCCTCACCAGAAATACTTCTGACTCACTGTCTCGGGAAATATTCTTTATCTTAATAAACTCAATGCAAAGCGTAATCTAAATCAGCTTGTGCATTCTTGAACGAGAGCCACAAGCTGCATTTAATAAAAATCATCAGAAATAGCAGGGAATTTCTGACCAAGAGAAGCGTCACCTGATGCTGGGAGTCTGCAGGCCGAGGCTGCGTTCCCGGGAAGGCTAAGGAGCCCAAGAGCCCCGGGGACCCCGCTGGCTGGACCTGGGCTCCCAAGGGCCCTGGTGCTGCAGGTGCTGCTGGTAGCAGTGGATGAGGACACAGTGACCATGCAGGCCGCTCTGCAGCCCAGGCTCGCCTTGTCCTCGCTGCCGCTCAACCTCTCCAAGCCTCAGTGTGCTGAATGGTAAAATGGGGCAGAGATCTGTATGTATCTGTGAGGGACGCTGTGGGGTTAAA